AACTCCTGAAGAGAAAATTGTATCATACTTTCCAATTATGAATCACAAATATGTTATTCACTCTGCAGATGCAATGTGTCTTTACTGACGATTGTAAGGCTATTCTTCCTCTTCCATAAGTAAGTTCAAAGCTCAAACGACTGGGTCCTTTAACTATCATCCCCCAAGTAAGTCAACTGGAAAAGGGGGGATTCAGGGTGCTAGAAGAAAGCAGCCTGGAACAATTATTTGGTGAATTAACTCAAGTCTAATCTGGACCCTTTGTTCTAGCCTCCTAGCTCCAAGAGAATAAACCCAGGAGTTAAGCCCCAGAAGAAAACACAGAGTGGGTGGCTGAGAGGGGAACAAATAGAGTTAATATTTCCTCTGAGCAAGGAAGAATGGACCCAGGCCCAGAACTAATTCCTGGGTCCTCAGAAGAATCACCAGCTGCTTCAGCTGTCTCCACATCTGGGAGAGGACTGGCCAAGGGGACCAGCACATGAGGAAGTCAGTGGAGGTTGCAGCTCACTTGCTGAGCCTTCCAAGAAGCTGCCCGAAGCCCGTGCCTTTCAGGGTGGTGTCTGCTGTGCCCAGCTCTGTAGCACGCTTTCCACGAGGAGCAGATTAGACACATCTGGGATTTTTAGGGATCTTTGGCCAAGAATGGTGGAGATGCAATGCACAAAAAGGATGGTAAGTTCTTAAATCTCTTTTGTGTGTGTGTGTGTGTAAAACCTGGTTTAAATCCTCACATGGCAAATCAATGATTTAATAACATCTGATCTGAGGAATTGGGAGATTTCTTTCAGCCACTTCCTTCCCCCTTGCTGAGATCATTGAGGTTATTCCTCATTTCTTATCTCTCTTTTCTCCTTAATTTTTAACTCTTGTTTGGGGGAGGTACTCCAGGATGCTTGATTCTGCAGGTAGGGGAAAGTCATACTTGGTCCTGATGTTGGTGAATCATCAGGATCTGAGAGATGGAACTCTAAGCCTCCAGACTGAATGCTGTGGCCGCCTGCTGCTGGCCTCAGTGCACCATCCTTTGGGGCTGATCACCTGGAGCCTCCTGCACCCTCCTGGCTCAGGTAAGCAGTCCACACCTGCTCTGGGGACTGTCATGGAGACTGATCGGAAAGAAAAGGAAACCCTGGTTTTGATGAATTTCTAGTTCAGGGTGGCTATAGCCCAGTCTTGGCAAAAGTGTTTAACATTGAACTAGCAAAGGGCAGGTAAGTTCAAATGGAATATTTCTGTGCTAGAAATGGATTGCACACAGGCTGAAGGAACAGAGAAACGGAGCAGTCGGATCTGTGTGAGTTCAATTAAGTTGCTTCCGACAGGAGGAGGGAGTTACATACACAGGCAGAGATGAGGTCGAGAGGGCTCTCTCTGGGAGACAGGGCTTACACAAAGCTGTGCATGCTGAAATAACAGCTTCTGAGCAGAAGCAGCAAGCTAATTAATTTGGCTAGAGCCAGGTTTTCATGCAAAGGGTAAAGGGACAGGAGTTTATAAGATGAGCAAAGCAGCTGGCTGGGTTTCTGTAGACAAGTAACTGGATCTCCCTGTACCTCAGCTGCCTCAACTATGAAATGAGAGAACTGCGCTAGGTGACCAGGGTACCGGGCTAAGGTTTCTGTCACCGAGGTATAGGAAGTTCATAATTATGGGAGCAGTGTGTTAGGCATTCCGAACTTTCCTAGGAGATTGTGGGTGACTGAGCCAAGATTAGAACCGGAGCCCACTCAGTCAGCATTAATGCAGAGCACTGTGCCAGGCCCGGGGGACCACAAGAGTGAATGCCACACTGAAGGTCCCATTCTCATTCTCACTGGGGGAGAAGAGGAAGCCGGCCAATCCAATGTCAAGGTTCAAGTGAACAAAATAGGGTTAACTGGAAGTAAGTGCTATGGAGAAAGTAAACATGGCATCCTGATTGTGATTTGGGACTTCTTCATTTGAGGGGCCTGGGAGGGACTTTCTGAGGAGGTGGCAGTGGGGCGGAGACCTGAAGGTCAGGAGGAGGTCAGCCTAGTTGTTGAGGGGCATCAAAGACCCAGCTGAGGTGTTCAGATTTCTCAGCACAGGCTAGGCCCCTACTCCTTTTTTTGGGAGAAGGAGTTGCTTTTTATTTTTCAAAGATCATGGAAGACAGAGAAAGACAAGAGGATGCCAATAATAGAGTCCAAATATGGGCGTAGGGCTGCCAAAGTAACATTGGAAACCTATGAGCAAAGCTGGGAGAGGGCGTTCCCATGAGCTCTCTTCCCTTCCCTGTTAGAAATACCAGAAAACTCCAGAAGGTGATGATGGCAGTCATCCTGGAGGGCCAAGTAAGGCTTGGTGTTAACAAGAATAAGAATAAGAATAAGAATAAGAATAAGAATAAGAATAAGAATAAGAAAATGAGAACAGTAACAGCACCACTAGATAACATTTTCTGTATTAAGCACTTCTGAGCACTGTTTAGATATTAACTCATTTAGTCCTTATGATAACTATAGAGATGGGTAGTATCACTATGCTGATTTTAGTAGTGGAGAAGCTGAGGCTTTGGGGAGTAACTTGGCCACGTCTGCACAGCTGAGGTCGGTGGAACCAGCATGCACATCTGGGTCCTCCAAGCCTGGGCTCTTCATCATCAAGCTATACGGCCTTCCACAGGCCGCACACAGTCATGCAGTATTTGATCTGGAAGTGAGCTTAGATTTTTTCTAGACCAGAGATTTCTAACACAGCCTATGCCTGAAGACCTCTGGCAGGACAATCCCTCCTCTTTTGACAGGTGAGAAAATGAAGTCAGAGAATTAGATCAGTGATGCAAATGAGGTGCTCTGCGTGCTCTACTTCAGCAGATACTAGATCCTCAACGTCTGTCTGGTTAGGAGCCCCTGGTGCAGCGATTGACTAGAACTGCAGCTTCCCAAGAGGGGAGAGACAAGTGTTAAACAAGCTAATGGAACAAGCGCAGGAAACAAGCGCAGGAAACTCTTGGTGTGATGCTTAGCACAGAGTAAGTGCTCAATGCATGCTAGTGCGTTTGAGAAAGTCCACATGTAGGTTTCTGTGCTCAAGGGTGAGACAGTTGGGCTGTCATTGGGGAAGGGGAAGCTTTATTGACATGCTGCAGCCCTTGCCAAACCCCACTGATCAGGGTGAATGTAAAATGTCTTTGGAAACCTGGTAACCCACCATTAAAACTCCTGGGTATAGGAAAACAATTGCTTGCCCTATATAAGTGGCTTATGATTGCCCTTGGTTGTCTGAGTTTCTCTTTAATTATAGGCCCTCTTTAAATACTCAGACACACAAGGTCTTTGTAAGCTTGAACTTCCTCTCTCTCACACACAATCCCCCCACACGCACACTCTCCCTTTCATTTACAGAGCATAAACAGCCATGTCTTCCTCATTCACATAGTGGATTTCAGCCCCAGGAATCTCCATTGAAGAGGGGCCCCTGGAGAGCTGTGGGCCTCTGGGCAGTCTTCCTGTCCCACAGCCCCAGGGGGTCTGGGAAGAGTGGATCCTTTATGGGGAGAAGATAATGGGTGAAAAGTGCTCTTCAGTGATGGACTGGTCTCATCCTTCTCTTCCCTTCCACAAAATTGTTTACTTGGGCAGTTACTTCCCTAAGAACATGGCAAAGTTCTCCCCCACTGCCTTCTTTTTTTACTTCATAGCCCTGTCCTCTCCTCTTCAAAACTCAACGCAGAGCCATTTGGCTCTGGGGAGATATTCCAGGTGTCAGGAGAGACAAGGAAGCCTGCCTGACTGTACTCGCCTTTCTTCCTTGCCAGAAAAAGTTGATTTTGCTGAGAGACAAGGGGGATCTCAAGGACCAGAGTGTGAAACAGGGCTCCTCGGATGCCCCTCCAAACTAGATGGGGCTTACGACTTGGTGCGCTGTCCCTGCTGAGCCACACTCAGTCTCTCACCCCCATGCCCTCTGTGACATTTGGTCAAGGATCACATGAAATGAAATCACGGCGGAAGTGCCCTCTGATTCTTCTCTTGCCTGCCTGTCCCTAGGCCCCTCTCTGGCAGGAAGACAGCCTCTTTCTCCACACCCCCTCCAGGCAGCAGTGTGCTGGTCAGTGTTGGGCAAGGGCTTCCCTTCTCCTCCCTCTGCCCTGAGTGGTAGTGTTTGTCCATTTCTGTGGTGTAAATACTCTCACCAGGTTTTATTCCAAGCTCCTGTTGCGATGCCCTGAGTGGGGAGATGGAGAGTAGCAGGCCATTTAGCCTTTCCGTCCTCCTTCCACGTCCCTGTGTTCTCTTCTGGGAGCTGTGGGCTGCTCTGCAGGGTTGGTGGTTGGGAGGCTAGTAGTCAGTTAGGAAGTGATGAGGTTTGTTTTTAAACCTAATTTATAATTGCAAGTTTATATAATTTAACTTTTAGTCATGGCTGTGTTTAACAGCTGACTGGCAAACTTCCTGAAAATTTAACAATCTGTATCAATCCATCCAACTCACTATGGTCCCTCCCCCTGCCCCCTCAGGGGAGGCTGTGGGCCTTGGTGGCCCCAGGTTTCAGAAGGGCTCTCCATGTTCCCGGGAAGTTGCCCTTCTGGCAATAGGACATTTACAGGGATAATTCTTGGTTCTGGGTCTTTTAGGGGATATTGTGATGAAGAAACAGCTGGAAGGCTGCAACAGGAGGGGCTGGAAGAGGGGGTTAGTGGTGGGTCTTCGTTCCCAACTCCTCACCAGACCCGCCTCGAGTTAAAGGCTAAGGCCCAGGGAGTGGACCGATAGATGTCAGCTGGGGCAGAAGTAACCGGTGTGTAGGGCACTAGGGCATAACTTGAGGGCAAAAAAAGGAGAACCCAGATTCCAGCGCCGGTTTCTCTGGCCAGCCCACGCCTCCTGCCTCAGCTCAACGCCACTCCCTCCCCGCCAAGTGGCTCTCGGCTCCGGAGGCGGGACCGAGTTCTTCGGTGGCCCCTGGAGGCTCCCAGCTGCAAGCTTTGGGAGGCTGGGAGACGAGAGAGGGAGGGGCGCTGACTGGGCAGTCCAAAGAGAAGGGGGCCTTTAATAGGCTCGCCCAGCGCCCGGTTAGTGGCGCTACGAGTGGCTGCGGTTCGGAGAAGCAGTCCGGCACCTCCCTCTAGTTCTCGGCTGCAGATCTTCGTCCTTACACTTGACAGCGATTGCACTTAAGTTCCCGGGGCGCGCTTTGCTTGGGAAGGCACAGGTAGGAGGCGCGGGCTGACGGGCGCACGCTCACCGCTCTGGGAGGAGTCGTCCTGGCCTTGCTCTCCTTTCTGGGAGCTGCGGGCTGCCGGAGCGTTGGTGGTTCCGGTGCGCGGTCTGCACAGAGACCGTGCGGGCAGCTGCTCCGATAGCACGGTTGTGTGCTGCCTGGAGCCATGCTTCTGCTGGGCATCCTAACCCTGGCTCTCGCCGGGGGACCCGTTGGCGGCTCAGAGCCAGAGCGGGAGGTTGTCGTGCCCATCCGATTGGACCCGGACATCAACGGCCGCCAATACTACCGACAGGGTCCTGAAGACCACGGGGATCAGGGGCTAATTTATCAGATTACAGCGTTTCAGGAGGACTTTTACCTACACCTGACACCAGATGCTCAGTTCCTGGCGCCCGCCTTCGCCACTGAGCATCTGGGTGTCCCCCTCCAGGGGTTCACCGGGAGCTCCCCAGACCTGCGACGTTGCTTTTACTCTGGGGACGTGAACGCCGAGCCGGATTCTTTCGCTGCTGTGAGCCTGTGCGGGGGGCTACGCGGAGCCTTCGGTTACCGAGGCGCTGAGTATGTCATTAGCCCGCTGCCCAATGCCAGCGCGTCCGCGGGGCAGCGCAACAGCCAGGGCGCACACCTTCTCCAGCGCCGGGGCGCCCCTGGCGGGCCTGCCGGAGATCCCACCTCTCGCTGCGGGGTGGCTTCAGGCTGGAACCCAGCCATTCTGCGGGCTCTGGACCCTTACAAGCCTCGGCGGACTGGTTTGGGGGAGAGTCGCAACAGGCGCAGGTCTGGGCGCGCCAAGCGCTTCGTGTCTATCCCGCGGTACGTGGAGACACTGGTAGTGGCGGACGAGTCAATGGTCAAGTTCCATGGCGTGGACTTGGAGCATTATCTCCTGACGCTGTTGGCCACTGCGGCGCGACTCTACCGCCATCCCAGCATTCTTAACCCCATCAGCATCGTCGTAGTCAAGGTGATGCTACTCGGAGACCGTGACTCAGGGCCCAAGATCACCGGCAACGCGGCCTTGACGCTGCGCAACTTCTGTGCCTGGCAGAAGAAACTGAACAAAGTGAGTGACAAGCACGCTGAGTACTGGGACACCGCCATCCTTTTCACCAGGCAGGTAAGTTGATCTGTCACCTCTCTGGACCCAGATAGCTTTATTTTTCTCAGGATCATTGTCCTTGGCTCTCCAAATGCCCTTTGTGCTGCGCAGTGCGCTCGGGGTTTAAATTTTGTTGATGTCTTCCAATTCCCACTTTGGATCTTCCGGGGAAAGCCGGCTGCTGTGCTCTGCAGAGCTCTGGCTCACGTGCGTCTGGATGCACGTGGGCGATCGGAGGAGGGAATGCTCCTTCAGAAGGTGTTGGCCTGGTGTGGCCAATCAGCGCCTCCTAGATCTGGCGCCAAGGGGCCGGAACCCAGGAAGTTGCCGCCCAGCACCTGCAGTTCATCTCCAAGGCAGATAGGAGGCGCTCTGAGGATGGCGTTGGAGAGGGCAGGAGAAGTCCACCCCTTCCTGTGGGGGCGTCTAAGTAGTTTCAGACACTCAAGATTTCTTCCCCTTGCTTGTAGAACTGGAAGGTGATCCAAACCGCCCAATTAAGCTCCTGACTACATTTCTCATCGGTAACATGTTCAGTTAACCTCTCTGCTCTGGGCCTGGAAAAGCTGGACTGGGAAGGAGGGAATCATTTGGGATATTCTGTAGGTTGCAGTGAGAGGACAGACTTAAGTACTGGGCTCATTCCCTCTGTTATTGCTGCCTCTCCTATACCCTTCTGTGCTGGGCCTCTCTTCTATTTGAGGGGCTTCCAGTGCATCCAGAGCAGGCACTGTACGTAGGGCACCTGTTTGGAGCTTGGAGTTTCACCTGGAGCTGAGTTGAGAAGATCTCTTTCAATTTTCCCATGCCCTTGTTGGCGGAGGGTGACCCGTTTGCCCTGAGGTATGCTGTGAACAGAGCGGGTAAGTTTGCTCAGGATCCCGAACCACTGCGACCTCCGGTGACCACTCTTGACCGCAGCGCTAGGCTTTTGCCCCTGGTAGTGTGGAAGTGGTGTGAGCTCGGTAAAGGGCACTTAGAGACTCTAGCTACAAGGTTGGAAAGACACTGAATATTGGGTTTAGAAAGCAGATCAGAAAAGCAGCTCTGCCTTTTGCTGTTGATCTGTGAGAGTTTAGATTTGTAGATGTCGGAGTGATTGGTACTGTGAAGTTTTTGGATTCTTGAAATTTCTTAGATACAGGAGACTGGGAGGAAAAGGGGCAGTCACATGACCCACTTCCTCTGATTTTGGGGGTGTGACTTGAATCCATGCCATGCTTTCATTTTGCTATTTTAACCGCAGCACTCTGGGGATGGCACGAAATCCATGGTTACCTGTGGGGCTCTGAATCTCCACTGTTTCCAAATGGCCCCGCAAAGCTGGACGGGCGCACTTGGGGCTGGAGCTAAAGTCTTCCACACTAACCCATTTGGCACAGCTAGTCCCTTCCTGGAGTTGAACTTCCTCCTTTCCCAGCCTTCTCCTCCCACCACCTGGTTTCTCTAGGGAGGTCTTTGGCCTGAGTCTGTTTCCTTGCTCTCATTCTTCCAGTTGAGTTCTATAGAGCTGCCACTGCCCAGTCCCGAGGAGCACTGCCTGAGTCACAGGGAAACTAAAGAGGAGGTGGCTTTGACCTCCGCACACAGGCCAACTCGGCAGTCAGATTGCTGGGGGAAGAAAGCAAAGACTGAGAACAGGATATCTTAATGGGCAAAGCAGCTGTTGTTCATCTGCTACCTGGGATGCCCCTGTGGAAGTCACTCGCTGGCTCTGAAGTACCAGACCTCAGTTTCTGCTGCCTAGTGGCTAGGCTGACTTTCAGAACCAGCCCTTGGAGGAGGACTCCTACTGCGAACATGGGCCATGCCGTCAGATGGACCTGCCTTTTGAAGAAGAAGCCATCAAACAGCATGACAGCTTCTGTGTGTCAGTGGTGTGTGCGAGACCCCCAGGGGGCTATGTTGACCATGCATAATGGGTACAAGATGTATGACCGCTTAGGTCAGAAGCAATGAAGTACAAGATGTGACTTTTAGAAGCTGTCTTTCTCTTAGGCGTCAAGCGGGCAAAGCCAGAAAGTGGGGAGGCTGTGTTGGCAGGTCTGTCCTGCACGTATGTGCTTTCTGCTTTAGAGTAAACATCGCTCCCACACCTCCTTGCCAGCACAGACTTCAGAGCCTGCTGCATTCTCAGAGTCTTAGGAATTGCTCATTCCTGAGCTCCCCCGGGAAGGTACAGTATGCGATGAGAACATGCATGCACAGCTGTGCTTTCTAGACTAAGGCAGATGTGGTCTCCGGGAACCTGGAGGAGTCTCCTGCTGCACTCCAACACAAGAGGGACTTTTGTGTCACTTTGTAAGGGTCCGTAGTAATCTTCCCAGTCAGCTGTATGGGCTCCTCTGCTTAAATCTGGCTCACAATGTTGGTGTAATTAATGCATTGCTGACTAAAATGTGAATATATGAATATACTATGTATACATAGTTTCTTTGGATAAGAAGTTTTTAGAAATGTGCTTATTTTGTAAGTCACCTTTTGTTTATGAGGCATATGGAAATGACAGGCACCTTTATTATTTTTAAAATATTTAATTTATTTATTTTTAGAGAGAGAGGATGGGAGGGAGAAAGGAAGAGAGAAAAGAAACATTAATGTGTGGTTGCCTCTCATGCACCCCCTATTGGGGACCTGGCCTGCAACCCAGGCAAGTGCCCAGACTGGGAATCAAACTGACCACCCTTTGGTTCGCAGGTCGGCACTGAATCCACTGAGCCACAGTAGCCACGGCTGATGGGGACCTTTAGAGTCACCTATTTTTTTGATTCAGAGATCTGAAAAATGGCTAGTGACTCTTTTAAAACATTTTAAAACTATTTTTAAAATCCTCATCTGAGGATATGTTTATTGATTTTAGAGAGAGAGAGGAAGTGGGGGAGAGAGAGAGAGAGAGTGAAACATCCATCGGTTGCCTTTCATACGCATTCCGATGGGGGATTGAACCTGCAATCTAGGTATGTGCCCTGACTGGGATCAAACCCGTGACCTTTTTGGTGCATGGGATGATGCTCCAAGCAGCTGAGCCACCCGACCAGGGCAGTAACTCTTTCTAACTGATCACACTTTAGTGTGGTTTCCACAGAGAGAAAGCGGTTAGGAAAGGGTCAGGCTCGGCCCCTTAGAGCTCCTGGCGCTAACTAGGGGTATCCGAAAGGAGAGCAGTGAGAGTGACATGACCTGCAGGCACTGGAGCCTCTGCTTCGACCAACAGTCGGGGTTGCTGTGCATGAAAACGAGTCCAGGCCAGGCCAGGCCAGGGGGAGATGCTGCTGTCCTCTTGGCAGGCAGAGGGAGGGGTGTGGGGTGTTGATATCAAAACATTGGGAAGACAAGACCCGGGGAGTATCCTGTGCACAGAGGAGAAAAAAATGATCACATGACAAGTATTTCGACAATTGGAGGAGTGTACTTAAAGATTCAGAGAAAGTTCATGTTCCTGGAGAAAGAGTGCACATCTGATTTTACAAAGTGATCAGCTTTCAGCCTCATAACAGCAGGGTGAGGTCAGCACAGGATGGGAACCAGGCTTGTGCAGAAATTGAGCCAGGCTTTCTGGGTGGACATTCATTTCTATGAGGAGAGAAGTTTCTGAGGCTGCTTGTTGCTTTGGGCAGTGGGAGCAGATATCTCATGCTGAGACTCTCTTCTCCCTTCAGGTCCAATGCCTCTGCTGTTGGGGTAACTTTGTGATAGACCAGATTTCATTCATTTACTTGTACATTCTTTTAATACTTATTGAGCATCTATTACTTCCAGGAACTATCCTGGGGTGTGGAGATACAGATAGTAGTAAGATGGGGCCTCTGGCTTCCAGGAATTCACTGCCTGTCAGGGAGTCCAACAAGGAAACAGCTCATTACAATATGATGTATTAAGTGTCCTGGGGGAGGGAGGCTTGGACCCTCCTCTGTTGGAAGTCAAGTCGGGGGGTCATTCTTCTCACACGAGAGCCTGGGAAGCGCTCAGAGGGACAGGCCTCCAGCACAGCACCGGGGTTGGGAGCTGGTGGTGACGGGGAAGAAAGCTTGTTTGTGCCTTGCAGGAGGGAGACCTCTCCTCCATTCAACCATCCGTTCTGCTATTTGTGACGCTGCCTCCTTCGGACTGACTTTGTGTCTTCAGGATTTGTAATTTGTGGGTTTTCTGCCTGCTTTGTCCTTCATTTACTTTACTTTTCGGTTGTGCCTAGTCCTGCTTCGTCCCATTCCCTCGTGCTCTTCTCCTCTCCCCTCTTTCCTCCATGCTCTCCTCAGCCTCTTTTGGGGTGATCGAGGCTCTTTGTCATCTTCCTCTTCTCTCCTCTTCACTCATACTCTGCCCTTTCCGAGGCCTTTCACAAACCCAGGCTTGGTGGCTATCTTCTTGTTTGGGCCTTGGGTACTTCTAGGTCGTGGGGAGGGGAGATATATGGCAGCGGGAAGTAGTGTTCAGATAAAGAAAATTATTGTTTTGTTAAAAAACAAAACAATAATATGTATTTTATGCATATCTTCCAATACAAAAAAAAAATCACCATTTTGTCAGCATCCTTTTCCAAGTCAGGCTTTGGAAGATGTTAACAGAGTTGAGCATCTGTAGATTTGGTTTGCAACAGTTTGAAAGTATCACTAAGTGGAAACACAACGCCCGTCCTCTGGGGAGGGGAAAGGGTGAGGAGGCGGAGAGGACGGCGTGACAGAGGATTGCTCTCGAGTCCTGGGTGATTTCTCTTCTCCCTCCTTTTCTTACTCACACCAAGTAAGTCAGCCAGTGGTAGTGTACACTGGAATCTGTTCTTTAAAAAAAAAACCCCACTGCGCTGGTCAGGAAGGCAAATGAGGTTTGTCCCTCCTTAGGTCTTGCTCTTCTCCTTCCTTTGAACCTCTCTGCAGTTTTATCACTCTTGGCACTTACCCTCTCCTCGTCCTGACACCTGGCTTCGGTTGCTTGGCATGGTGGGAAGACCATGGGCTTGGTGTCAGGCAGAGCTGAGTTCGAATCCTGACACTTGCACTTTTATAAACAAACATCGAATG